AACCAAAATCATTGCTTTTACAAAAGTTGTGGCCCCATTTTGGCCTCCCGAGGGGGCCGCGCTCATCTTCCTTCCTAGCAAAATCAGTTAATTTACGATGGTTGCGGGCTCATTTTGTCCTTCTCAAGGGGTAGCGCTCATTTGCGCTTCTGAGGAGGTCGCACGAGGCCCCCAAGAGGCCCCAAGATGCCCCCAGGAGGCTCCCAAGAGGCCTCCAAGAGGCCCCCAAGAGGCCCCCAAGAGGCCCCCAGAGGCTCCCAACAGGCCCCCAAGAGGCCCCCACGATGCCCCCAGAGCCCCCAAGAGGCTCCCAAGAGGCCCCCAAGAGGCCCCCAAGAGGCCCCCCAAGAGGCCCCAAGAGGCCTCCAATAGGCTCCCAAGAGGCCCCAGGAGGAGCCCGAACGACTCGCACCAGGACGAGGGGCCCGAACGACCCACACCACGAAGAGCCCGAACGACTCACACCAGAAAGAGGGGCCCGAACGACTCACACCAGGACGAGGCGCCCGAACGACTCACACCACGAGGAGCCCGAACGACTCACACCACGACGAAGGCCCCGAACGACTCACACCACGAGGAGCCCGAACGAGTCACACCAGGAGGAGGGGCCCGAACGACTCACACCAGGACGAGGGGCCCGAACAACTCACACCACGAGAAGCCCGAACGACTCACACGAGGACGAAGAGCCCGAACGACTCACGCCACGAAGAGCCCGAACGACTCACACCAGGAAGAAGGGCCCGAGCGACTCAGACCAGGACGAGAAACCCCAAACGACTCAAATCACGAGGAGCGCTTTCTCTCCCTCCTCCCCCGCCTCGCCCTTCTCCCGCTCCCCCCACAAGGAGGATTCACAAGGAGGCGGGGGGGCGGAGGGGCAGGGGAGATATACGGAGCCCAGCGGACACACGCCTGCAAAACACAACTGTCGACATGCTTCGCGAGAGCTGCTGCTGTGAGATGGGCTGGTGGGGATACGCGAAGCGTGAAGAATTCTCACACTTGAGCTCGGCGCGCTGAAGACGATGACCCACGTTCGCGCGCGCAGTGAGCTCAGGCTTGAGGCTTCGAAATTGTTGCCGCGCCCCTTGTGACTGAGCATCCAGAGCACTCCGTGCCGCATCGCTGCCTGGGGCCCTGTCCAGCGCGGGGCGAGCTTGCGCCGGGCGTTGAACCAGATCCCGCAGCATTTGACCGCGAGCGCCACCGATGGGAGCGCCGCCGTTGCCGCGGTTGCCTGCTAACTTGTCGCGCTCGGTCTCAAGCTCTCGCATGTGCCCCGTGAGAGATGTCACTGCCACATTGCCTCCATTACGCTGCCCGCCTGTACCACCACAAGGCTGGCGCTGACCACCATGAGGACCACGAGGGCCACGCTGAGCTTTTTCCCGAGCGGCTTGACGGCCCTGGAGGATTCGATGTTTCCTACATGAGAATGCGCATATCCCCTCGATTGGACGACACAGCTTTGGAAGATCACAGGCCCGAGGCAGAAAGAAAAAACGAAACCTGGTCGGTTAGCCCCATTGGGCTCCCCAGCCGCAAAGAAACTATGTCCTGAGCACTAGACCAGCGTCACACATGTAGGATGACTGTGGGTTCTCCCATCTGAAAGCAAAACGCATATGCTGACAAGCTATGACTACACGCACTGACACCTGCAGAATTCGATTGCCCTCAGCAACGACGGTTTGCAGAGGAGGGAGAGCCGAGGAGAGGCCGAGGGGGTGGCTAATACTGCGGACGGCGTAATGGCCACCACGAACACTAGAAAAACTCTTGCGCGGGATCCCGTCGTTTTGCCAGCGTCCGCAAAGAGACCAAGGAGGTCGCATTGCGGACGCTGGCAAAAAAACGAAAAAATCTCTTCCTCAACGCGCTCGAGACATGTTCGGACCCCGGGAATACTTCGACGAACAAGAACTGAGCCACGGCCCTGAACTGTTGGTTGTCGTCCGCCCGATCGTCCTCGCGACGCTCCTCGAGCTCCGTCGCGAGCCCTGCCTCCGCCCCTCGCTATGATCTGCGTCGCGTTTCTCGGCGGTGGCGGCGGCGGCGGCTGCACAACCGCCATGACAGGATATAGTTCCCGAGCCAACTTCATGTCGTCCACCTCCTTGCGAGTGCCGGCGCGCGCAGCCATGATGTCATCGCATTCGTCCACGCTGCACGCTGGCCCCATATTCTGCGCGGTCGCCGCCGCGATGTTGTAGCAAGCCTCGGAGCCGAAGCCACTGGCACCAGCTGAATACTCCACTTCCTCGTAGCAGGGCTGCTGCTATTCGTCATCCTCGACGTAGTAGGTGTCGGCGTGTGTCATCCTCGTATGTTTCATCCACCTGGTAGGCCGCTGACCTGGACTGGCCCTGCTCGGCGGTAGCGAATCCAAGCCGAACGTCTTCTTCACATGATTCTCGACTTTGTCCAGCTTCAGATCGTCTCCGATCTGGTTCACGACGAGCTGCTTCTGCTCCAGTCCAAACCAGCTCGCCGAAGGAGGAAACAACCCAACACTTTGTCTGGTAGGTCAACGTCGTGAATTGTTATCTTTTTTCCGCCATCCTGCATGTGGTCAGTCCCGTCGGTTCGCGAGCCACTCTGAAGAAGAAATTATCGAAATCTGTCGGCAGCTCCGCTATCTGGTCGTACTTGTATAATTTGCCAAGCGCCTCCAGACTTGTTTTCCAGCCTTTCTCCTTCTCGATGTCATCGATCGCTATGTCGTCGACGACGTCCCACGCTCTGCCCGACAAGCCTTTCATGATCTCCACGCCCACGAGTTTCTTTATCTCTTTGCCTCGAGCCAGTGCTGTGTAGATCTCACATCTGGTAATTCCCTATCGCGCCGTCGAACTCTGGTGCCCGGCCACCATAATGTACGCCGTTGTCGCCGTTGCCATGTTTTTTGTTTCCTTGTGCTGCGCCACGTCCGCTCGGTGGTCCCATGGGTGCTGATGTTCTCGCCCGTGGATCAAAGGTTGAGGGAAACGAAACCCTTCTGACTGAGCGAGAGGCCTTTCGAGCTAAAGAATTACGGAATGTCTGTCTCTCTGATCATACGTACTATCATGCTGCCTACTGTGGGAGGGGGAGGGTCTTATCCAACATGATTATGCTAGAAACTTCCAAAAGCCTCCGAAACCCCGTTACATGGAGTATAACGCACAGTACCTCCTCCTCCTCCTCCTCCTCCTCCTCCTCCTCCCCTAGAAGAAGAAAACTGCAGAAACATACACTTTCGGAGGTCGGCAGCGGAGCGCGCCAGGGGCGGCGCCGGAGGCCTCGCCAAGGGGATCCAGCGCCAATCCGAGAAATCCGCGCGGAGCTTCGAATATGTATGTCCGTGCTGTGTGCCATTCTTCGGTACCCCTCCCTCCCTCCTTGAGGCATCCTAGATGGGGTCCGAATAGATGGGGTCGAAGGATCGCGCCGCATCGCCGATGCGTCGGCGATACATCGTCAATGCATCGGCGATGCATTGGCGACGTCGGCGATGCATCGGTGCCGTCCGCATGGAGAAAACCGACCTCCGCATCGAGCCGCATCGCCGATGCATCGGCGATGCGGCGAGATCCTCCGATCCCATCTGCTCGGACCCCTATCTAGGATGGCCTAGAACGCTTATGCTCTGTGCTATTCTTCGATCCCCCTCCCTCCCTCACCCCTCGCCGCCCCATCCTCTGCTGACCCCTGCGCCGCACCCGCTCGCGACCCAGGCCCACTGCCCTCCCCAGCACCCCCCTCCCGCCCCCGACACGCCGCCGGACCAGCTCGTCTCGGGGATCTTCTGACCCGGGTCAATCCAGACCCGGATCAGTCAGGCCTTGCAGAATCCAGCAAGATCCTGTACCCAAACCTGGGTCAATGCGAAGGATCCTGCAAAATCCTGCAGGATCCTGCACCCAAACCCGGTCAATGCGACCCTGGCCCTGCAGGATCCTGCAAGATCGGGCGCTCTGGCTGACCCCCGTTTGCATTGACCCCCGTCTCAAGGCTCCCGATGGTCTCGTCGGCGCTTAGCACCGCGGGGGGAGGGGTGCGACGCCGTCGGGCGCGTGTGGAGAAAAGCAAAAAGTGCGCCCCTTCGTTAGGAGGCAACTCCTGGGAGGTCTTCGTCGGAAGGATTAGGGAGAGTTACGCCGCCTTGGGGGGCTCCTGCGCCAGATTGGGCCGCGGATTCAGCGGGACGAAGCTAGATCAAGCCAGAGTCAGCGGGGTTTAGCGGGATTTAGCCAGATTTCGGACCAGGGCAAAGTCAGAATTTGACCTCCCACGAGATGCATCCGAAAATGCGCCCCTTCGATTCTGTAGACATGTGGGAAGCAAACCACGCTTGGCCGCCCGAGCAAACCGCACCAGAGAGCCCTCCGCTCGCAGCGGCCCGTGAACAACAGGCAGCGCGACACGTTCCCAGAGCTTTTGCCATGAGATGCCAGGGAAGTACAACGTCGGAAAGGCCGGAGAACTGAAGAACAGCATGCACAAAACGAAGATCGGTTTCGATAGGCCTCTGAAACCCCGCTGGCAACTAACATGCTACGACACGTGAGGACTGCATGCTTACGCCGGCGAAACACCAACTGGGGCATCGCTTCGGAAGCTAGGGGCCTAGAAGAAATGAACCTGCCTCAGTTGGAAATTCTTCCCCCAACCCTCCATCACCGAGGAAACCAAAAGATACCTATACCGCTACTCCCCAGACCTCTCCCGCAGTTCATTCTGACCAAAATTGCGAAGCTAATCCAGCTGTGGCGACGAGGGCCTCCCAGGCGGCCAAACAAGGCGAAAACAAAGCAAGGGTAGCAGTATCGGCAACTTCTCCTCGTCTGAATCACTGTCCTCCCCCGTTCCCCTCGACAAAATCCTGGGACGAGCCAAGCCAAGTGGCACGACGAACCTTCCCCCGAGACGCTGAGTTCCCCCCCTCGCGGCGGCTGCGCCATCCCGCCCGTGGACCGCCGCCCGTCCCGCGCGGGGGAGGGGGGGGCGCGCGCCAGCAGGATATGCGCGGTGCAGATGGCGTTCGAGGACAGCTTTCGCGCCTGGCGCGCCGCAGGGGGGAGGGGGGGGCGGCGCTAGCTGGGTGAGGAGCAGGGACGGGGGAGGTCTCTGAACGAGGGGTGGGGCGGAGGGCGGCGACGACGACTGCGACCAGCGGGTGGGAGAAGGAGCAGGAGCAGTAGGCGGAGGATGAGGGAGAGCGCCATTCTGAGCGACGGGGACAAAGCGACAATCTGGTAAGGAAGCCAGCGCTGCAGCGGAAGCACAATTCAAAGTCACCGAAAGCGGTCGGATTGCAAAAGCACATATCCCAAACCAATGTTCGCGATGAGCGTGTCGCCAGCTCCACCCCCCTGCTGATGCAGACTCTCCTCGCCGCCACCGCTGGCACTGCTGGCAGCTGCACGCCCAGCGCTACCTGGTTGGCCACTATCGGAGATCTTCTAACCCGGGTCAATCCAGACCCAGGTCAGTCGGGCCCTGCAAGATCCTGCACCCAAACCCGGGTCAATGCGAAGGATCCTGCAAAATCCTGCAGGATCCTGCACCCGAATCCGGGTCAATGCGACCCTGGCCCTGCAGGATCCTGCAAGATGTGGCGCTCTGGCTGAGCCCCGTTTGCATTGACCCCCGTCTCAAGGCTCCCTACACTATCTTGAACGCCGTCGCGGGCGCCTCCGACCATTCAGCCAAGCGGAGCGCCGGTGACATCGAAGAGCCAGGCTCGGTCGAAACGACTCGAGAGCGGGAGGCCCCGGCCCGAGCCCTGATGGCCAGCCAGAGCCCAAGGCGCGGCTCCCTCTTCCCAACTGGCAGCTACGACAGGTTCGTGTCGTGTCGACCCTGGCGTGGTTCTTGACACCGCGGGGATCGTTCAACCTTGAACGATCGGGCGTTTCCGAAACGTCCAAATTGTTACACATCGAACGATTCTGGGTCGCCCGCCGCGGCGTTCAATGTTGAACGCGACTGGCGGGGTCGCCGCCGGTCGACACGACGCGAACCGACCGTACAACACCCTCTCTCTCTCTCCGACCGCCGCGAACACCCTGATGTGTGGACGTCCCTTCCCGAATTCGCACGCCGCGCGGCCAGCCGGAGCCCCTTCCGACCCCTGCTGAACATCGCCGCTCTGTGCCGCACCACCGCTAGGGGGCTGGATGGGAGAAGCCCATCGTCACCCTGCGCAACTCCGCAGACGCGCGCCTCAAGGTCCTGACAGGGGCCATGAATGTCCCGGACGGCACCCTCCGCGACCGCTGGTAACGAATCCGCCCTGCAAACTCGGCCGGCGAGCCCCTTGGCGGGAAGCCCCCGAGCGGATGGAATACCCATTGCCCCCCACGGCCGCCGGCGTGGGGGCCCCATCCGCGGCACCCCTGCGCGCGCGGCGCCTCCTCCACGGCCTCCACGAGCACGCTCTTCGCACTCGGCGTGAACGGAACTTCCACCTCGGTAGAGGCGACGACGACGACCAGAAATGGAACAAACAAACACATACACACACAGCAGCAGCAGCAGCAGCAGCAGCAGCAGCAGCAGCAACAGCAACAGCAACAGCAACAGCAACAGCAACAGCAACAGCAACGACAACAACGACAACAACAGCATCATCAACAACGACAGCCAAAACAACATTCACAACAACAACAGCAACAGCAACAGCAACAGCAACAACAATAACAATAACAATAACAATAACAACAACAACAACAACAACAACAACAACAACAACAACAACAACAACGACGACAACGACAACAATAACAACAATAACAACAACAACAACAACAACTACAACAACAACAATAATAATACTGATAATAATAATAATAATAATATTAAGACTGTTCGCCCTTATATGCTCGAGCGTCCAATAACGCGTATTTCCCAAACCCTCGATACCCGCCCTCTTCGTCTTCGATCGAACCCCTTTTGGGAGGTATACCTTTCTTCCCTGCAGGCCGGGCCCCGGCAAGCGGCGGGGCGGCCGCGGACCGTCGGCCTGGCCAGCGGCAGCGCTGATCGGCGGGGTGGCCGCGGACCGTCGGCCAGACCCAAGGAGGGACGGACAGGGGACCGATCACGACGACGACGACGACGACGACGTCGAAGACGACGGCGACGACGAGCGAAAACGAGAGCGAGAGAAAACGACAGCAGGGCCACGAAGGGCACGAAGTAGGCCACGAAGGGCGACAGCGGGGACACGAAGGGAATGCATATGGGGCCACGAAGAGCGCGAACGAGCGGGGGCCAAGAAGTGCAGATAATGCGGGACCACAGAAGGCAACGACGGGGCCACTGAGGGTAGCAACTGGGCCACGTAGAACAGTGACGGGAACACAAACGGCGACAGCGGGGCCACGAAGGGCATGCACATGGGGCCACAACGGGCGCAACTCCTGGGTGCCTGGGTGTCGGGAGCGCGGCGCTTGGGCAAATCGCAGGAAATTCGAACGCAAGGCTATTGTTCAATAAATCGCAAGCAAGTCCCCAGCGAGAGCGCGACTCCAGAGCGCTGGGCGAGCGATTCCTGCATAAATTGGAAGGAAGTCCGAAGCGAGAGCGCGACTCCTGAATAAAATGCAAGGAAGTATCGGGCGGGAGCGGGGGTCCTGGCTAAATTGTAAGGAAGACTCAGGCGGGAGCCGTTGTTGTTGTAACCCAGGGGCCAAGGGCCCAGTTTGATCAGGAAGACTTCCCATGTCAAAAAACAGGGTGCGAGCGTCGAGGGGCACACTTTGATTGAGAAAAAACTGTACGCACCGGTGGGGGGGATCAACAACAATTATTCTTCAGAAAGGAGAATTCAACAACAACAACAACAACCACAACAACAACAACAACAACCACAACAACAACAACAACAACAACAACAACAACAACAACAACAACAACAACAACAACAACAACCACAACCACAACCACAACAACAACAACAATAATAATAATAATGATGATAATAATAATGATGCTGGTAATAATAACAACAATAATCAGTTTAAGACTGTTCGCTCTTATCTGCCCGAGTGTCCGTCAACGCGTATTTCCCAAACCCTCGATACCCGCCTTCTTCGTCTTCGATCGTACCCCTCTTGGGGGGTATACCTTTATTCCCTGCAGGCCGGGCCCTGGCAAGCGGCGGGGCGGCCGCGGAGCGTCGGCCTGGCCAGCGGCAGCGCTGATCGGCGGCAACCTGACCCCAAGGAGGACGGGCAGGGGACCGACCACGACGACGACGACGTCGACGACGACGACGTCGATGACGACGACGACGGCGACGACGACGACGGCGACGGCGACGACGACGACGACGACGACGACGAGCGAAACCGAAAGCGAGAGAGAGAGAGAGAGAGAACGACAGCAGGGCCACGAAGGACACGAAATAGGCCACGATGGGCGACAGCGGGGAAACGAAGGGAATGCGTATGGGGCCACGAGGAGCGCGAACGAGCGGGGGCCACGACGTGCAGATAATGCGGGGCCACAGAAGGCAACGACGGGGCCACTGAGGGTAGCAACTGGGCCACGTAGGACAGCGAGGGGGCCACGAAGGGCGACAGCGGGGCCACGAAGGGCATGCACATGGGGCCACGAGGAGCGCGAACGAGCGGGGGCCACGAACGGCATGCGCATACTGGGCCGCGGAAGGCAAGGACGGGGCTATTGAGGGCAGCGACGGGGCCACGAAGGGCAGCGAGGGGGCACAAAGGGCGACAGCGGGACCACGAGGGGCATGCATATGGGGCCACAACGGGCGCGAACGAGCGGGGGCCACCAAGCGCATACATATATGGGGCCACGAAGGGCAGCGATGGGGCCACGACGGGCTGCAACGGGGCCACGAAGGACAGCGAGGTGGCCACCAAGAACTGCAACGGGGCCACGAAGGGCAGCGAGGGGGCCACAAAGGGCTGCAACGGGGCCGCGAAGAGCAGCGAGGGGGCCACAAAGGGCAGCAACGGGAGCACGAAGGTCAGCGAGGGGGCCACGAAGGGGTGCAACGGGGCTACGAAGGGTAGCGAGGGAGGGGGCCACGAAGAGCTGCAACGGGGCCACGGAGGGAAGCGAGGGGGCCACCAAGGGCTGCAAGGGGGCGACGAAGAACAGCGAGGGGGCCACCAAGGGCTGCAACGGGGCCACGAAGGGCAGCGAGGGGGCCACGAAGGGAATGCGTATGGGGCCACGACGGGCAGCGAGGGGGTCACAAAGAGCTCCAACGGGAAGGGCGGCGAGGGTGCCACGAAGGGCTGCTACGGGGCCACGAGGGGCAGCGAGATCCCGATTCCCAAATAATATGTGAGGGGGTCCTAAGCATTAGCGCGACTCCTGGGTGCCTGAATGTCGGGGGCGCGGCGCTCGAATAAATTGCAAGAAATTCCAACGCAACCGCAAGGGCACGATTCCTCCGTAAATTGCAAGCAAGTCTCCAGCGAAAGCGCTACTCCAGAGCGCAGGGAGAGCGATTCCTGAATAAATTGCAAGGACGTCCCAAGCGAGAGCGCGACTCCTGAATAAAATGCGAGGAGGTGTCGGGCGAGAGCGGGGGTCTGGGCTAAATTGTGAGGAAATCTCAGGCGGGATCCGTTGATGCTGTACTCCTGGGATCAGGGGCCCAGCTTCGCCCCATCACCAATTTCGCGCTGATCAATTTCGCACAATCTTAACACGAGTGTTGTTGAACTCTCGCTTGTGGAAAATAATTATTGTTGATTCACCCTCACCGGTGTATACTGTCTTTTCTCCATCGAAGTGTGCCCCTCGACGCTCGCACCCCGTTCTTTGTCAGGGAAAGGCTTGGTAGTCAAACTGTGCCCTTGGACCCCCGGACTAAAACAACAACAACGGCTCCCGCCGGAGATTTCCTCCGGATTTACTCAGGACCCCTCCTTCCCGTCTGAGATGTCCTCCCATGTTGCTCAGGAGCGGCGCTCCCGCTTGAGACCTCCTCACAATTCAGTCCGGGTCAAACTGCCTTGTTGTCCTCCTGAAGTACAACAACAACGGCTCCCGCTTGAGACTCCCTAACAATTTATTGAAGAATCACGCTCTCGATTTGGACTTCCTTGCAATTTACCACTGCGCCGCGGCTCCCGCCAGAAGCTTCCTGACATGTATTATAGAATCGTATTATAGAATCGCGCTCTCGCATGGGACCTCCTCGCAACTTACCACAGAACCGTTTTGCTTGAGATATTTCCTCACAACTTATCCAGATGCCGGTCCTCGACACTCAAGAATCGCGCCCCCGCTACATATTGCCTCGTGGTTGAAGCAGCACTCACGCTTCAACGGCCCGCCCGCTCGACCCGCCCGTCGGGGCCTGCCCGCCCGACCAGCCCGTTAATGATTGCAGTGGCCGCTCGCTGCCCTTCGCCCGCTTTCGATGCCCTTCGCTGCCCGTGCTGTTTCCGCGGTCGCCTTCGCTCGCTGCCCTTCGTGGCCCCGTCGCTGCCCTTTGTGGCCCCGCATTAGTTGCCCTTCGTGGCCCCCGTTCGTACGCGCCCGTCGTGGCCCCATACGCATGCCCTTCGTAGCCCCGCTGTCGCCCTTCGTGGCCCCCTCGCTGCCCTTCGTGGCCCCTTTGCTGCCCGCAGTGGCCCCGCTGTCGCCCTATGTTTTGCGGCCCCGTATACGAATGCCCTTCGTGGCCCCCGCTCGCCCCCGTCGTGGCCCCATATACATGCCCTTCGTGGCCCCGCTGTCGCCCTTTCTGGCCCCCTCGCTGCCCTTCGTGGCCCCGTTGCTGCCCTCAGCGGCCCCGTCGCTGCCCTCTGTGGTCTCGGATGTTATGCCCTTCGTGGCCCACGCTGGTTTTTCTCACGATTTACTCGGGAATCACGCTATCGCCCGAAAGTTCCTCGCGATCCATGCAGGACCCACGCTTCAGCAACCCGCCTGCTCGACCTCGTCGTTTGGACCCTGCCCGCTATGGGTCTGCCCACCCGATGTGCCCGTTCGGTTCCACCATATGTTTTGCGTTCCTTGCCCCGCTCTCCTGCTAATTTGTCTCGTGATCCATTCTTACCACTACCCTTTTCCACCCGTCCTCTCTTCCCTTGTTTAAGGGGCTGCATCAACACACGCGTGGCAGGTAATGAAGATAGACCCCCAAAGGGGTACGATCGAACACAACGAGGGCGGGCACCGAGGGTTCGGGATACACGCATTGATTGGCACGCGAGCAGATAGGAGCGAACAGTCTTCAAATGGTTGGTGCTGCGGTTGTTGCTGCTGTTGTGATTGTTGTTGATTATGATGTTGCTGATGGTGATGATGATGATGATGATGATGATGATGATGATGATGCTGTTCTTGTTGAACTCGTATTTATGAGAAAAATGTTGTGGATCCCCCTCACCGGTGCATACTGTTTTCTCGCAATCAAAGTGTGCCCCTCGACGCTCGCACCCTGTTTTTTGATACGGCAAATTTTTATGCTCAA